TTTCCTGCATATAATCTGATTCAGTATTTAGAGCAAGTGGTAATAGACAAGCAAGTACCTTAAAATAAAATAGAACGTGGCAAGAAAACAATGACTGCTGCAGAGCAAAGGGATGCTGTTTTAGAAACTGTGTTTCTGGAAGCCTTAAGACAAAAACGATGTGTAACCATGAAGCCAGGTGATCTAAAAGGCTGAGAAAAGATCATTCCAGGTAGGGAGCAGAGGGGAAGAAAGGGTAAAGACAAATTGGGGCAGGTTGGCCCGTTGGAGAGAAGGCAAAGGCCAGTGCTTATAAAGTATAACATATTGGGGCAGTGGTGGGGAGTGAGGGCTCCTTTATTCTGACCCAAGGGAGCCATCTGTGGTTTTGAGCTGTGGTGTGATAGGTCTGGTTTTCTGTGTTCTTTTCTTTTATAATCTGTAACTTCTTGGTTTTTAACTTTGTATTTTGAGACAATAATAAATTCATAGGAAATTACAAAAGTGGGGCTTGGAAGTTTCACCTGCCAACTTGCATCTACTGTTACATTTTACACAACCGGTATAATACCAACACTAGGAAGTAGACCTTTGCATAATGTGCGTGTGTATTTTTGTGCGTTTTACCACATGCGTAGATTTGTGTCATCACCCATGTAATCAAGATACAGAGTTATCTTATCAAAGATGTGTGTTCCTGCTTTCCAGTAATGTCTGCCTCTCTTCCTTCTGCCATCCTTATCTCAGGCCAGCCACTCATTTCTTCATCTCTGTAGTTGTATCAAAATTTTTATATAAAGGATCATAAAAATGTGACCTTTTAAATTCATGTATTTATTGCTCCTTCCAGGTTTTTTTGCTATTGCAAATAAAGCTATGAGCGTCTGTGTATAGATTTCTGAGAGGGATTCATTTCTTGGGACAGATGCACTATTACTTGAGCAGCATTATTAGGTTGTGTGGTAATTGTTTAGTTCTTTATCAAGATTGTCAGACTCAGAGTATACCATTTACAGTCCCAACAGTTGTGTATGAGGCCTTTTATTTATTTGAATCCTCACAGTGTTTTGGGTTTGTTTGGGTTTTTTGTTTTGTTTTGTTTTGTTTTTTTAGCTATTACAAGAGATTGTGTAGTGATATCTCATTGTGGTTTTAATTTTTCTGTAGTAGTCAATGAGATTTAACTGCTTTTTGTGTGTTTGCCACCCTTGAGCTTCTTTAGTGAAATGTTTCTCCAAGTACTCCATTTTCTAAAAGTGGCTGCATATTCCTTTTACTGTTGAGTTTTGAGAGTTCTCTATTTATTAGAAATGTAGTCCTCCGCCATTTGCAATAGTTTGTCTCTCCTCACCGTTTTAAGAGATCCAGTTTGTGCTGCTAGAGTCATGTCTAGGAACTGTTTGCTAAGCCTTAACAAAATATGTATCATTTATGGAGGGAAACTGAAACCAATGAAAGAAATGAAGTTCTATATTAATAATGATATTACATAGGTAAATAAATCTGTAGAGCACATTGGAAGCCAGAGGTAACCTGACAAACACAGGGGTCCACTAGTCTTTGCTGAAGGAACAAAGGCAGTTCAGTGGAGAAGCAGGATTGTTTCACTGAGCAGTGCTAGAACACCATTGATGAGCAGAAGTTTTGAATTTTAATAATATTCAATTATAAATGTTTTATAAAAAGTTTTTTGTTTGTTTTGATACTGAGTCTTACTATGTAGCTCAGGTCTGAAACTTGCAGCAATCCTCCTGCCTCTGCCTCTCAAGTGCTGGGATTGCAGAGGTGCACCACCATGCCAGTTCTCCAGTTTCACTTATTTAATACTGTTTTTCTTTTCTTTTTTTTAATTTTTATTTAAGGAGAAAAGAAAAGAAAGAAAAAAAAAACAGTGAAGGGATACAAGTTATACAGATTTACAGAAGAAAAAAATGCGCAGTAGGAAATCACTAGTTAATGGATTACATATTGCCATCTTAGAAATAATTGTTCAAGTCACAAAATTAAAGCTTGTAGAGTGGACATTCTAACAATGATACTGCAAACAGTTCTGTTCAATGATCCAATAAAACTCTGTGATATCATTTTCTATCTTATACATTTAAATATACATGCAGTTATATAGTTTAGAGCACTTTCTTTTCCTCTCTTTTGTACAGTGACTATTACACATTTTGGGTTTCATTGCTCCCACGGTTCTTATTGCTTTTTTGGAAGAGAGTAAAACCAAATGTGACATAACAGAACAGAATCGGTCAAGTCAAAAGGGTGGATATAATAGATAATATAAAAACATAATACAAGGTGATCAACAATGGTTACCATAATGCCTCCCACTATTTCTAATAGAATTGCCTATATCATTAGTTGTAATACAATTGAACAAAGCCGTAAAGAATATAACTGACAAAACCAAAACATTGGAGATATTGTAGGTCTTCAAAAGTAGATAAAAGTCAACGAGAATGGGCGTTATAATGAATCTCATTATCTTCTCAGCTGATGCCTAAACTTTCGAACCTGATACTATCCAGCAAAACAGAATAGAGTAACCTCAGTCAAAAACAAGATGGTGAGAGTAATACAGGGCTTCAAATTGAGATAATAGAAAGTCAAAGTGGGTTACTATATTATATCCTGCTATATTTTTCCCTTTAATTAAATGGATAAAAATAAAAAAGTAAATAATGGAGTGGAGATTGAGAAAAAAGAGGGCATAACAGCGAAACAGGGCAGATCAAAACATAACCATTTAAGCAGAATAGTGTTTCACCACCAGATATTTCCGACCCAAAAGTAGTTACCATATTGACTCCCTCCCTGAAGTCCTTGAGTACAACTTCATATACTGTAGCATTAAGTATATCAAAACAATGTAAAACCATTTAAGAGAATGACAGCATTACAGGGTATTTAGAATCGACTAATAGAAAATGAACAATGGTCTCTGTATAATCTCCTTGTCTTTAAAAGGTTTTTGCTTATACTATCGTACATAACAAAATCCAATAAAATACAACCTGTTTAGACCATTGGAGACAGAAGAACAAAAGCTAGATGAGACTTCAAAACAAGATGGTACTAAATCAGCATTACCTATTAAGATGTCATTTTCTCCAAAATAGCTGTTCCTATCATCTAATCTTCTCTGTCTCATTTCTGTTGAGCTCTTTTTCTGTCAGTAGCTGTCAGTTTGTCTTCTTCATTTTGTTCTCTGCTCCATTCGTTGTGGCCTCCCCGCCACTATTTCTGGGTTCTTTGTATTTTTCTTTTTTTAGAATATCCTGCAATACTTTCTGTAGGGTTGAGTTGGTGGTTGCAAATTCCCCCAGTTCCTCTTTATCCTGGAAGCACCTCGTTTTTCCATCAATTTCCAGGGACAGTTGTGCAGGATATCTCAATCTTGGCTGGAGATTATTATCTTTCAAAGCTTGAATTATTTCCCCCCATGCTCTTCGTGATTTGATGGTTTGTGAAGAGAAATCTGCTGTAATTCTGATGGGTGTTCCCTTGTAAGTGGTCTGTTTCTTGTCTCTGACAGCTTTTAATATTCTGTTCTTGTATTGAATTTGTGGAATTTTTATTATTATATGCCTGGATGTTTCTCTGTTAGGGTTGTAGGTAGCTGGGGTCCTGTATGCCTCATACATCTGAGTATCTTTACCTTTTGCTAAATTAGGAAAATTCTCCTGGATTATTTCTGTGAGTAGCTTTTGTAGTTCACTTGTTTGTGTCCCTACTTCTTCTTTTATGTTCTTAATCCTTAAGTTATGGCTCCTCTTATCATCTTCTTGTCTTTGTATTATTGCTGTTTGTTTCTTTGTTATTTTTAAGAAGTTTTTCATTTCATTCTCCCATATTTCAAGTCTGCCCTCCAGTTCAGATAGTCTGTCCTTAGTTTCTTTCAAGCTGTTATGCCAGTCTTGGATAGACTTCTTAATTTCTTGATAGTCCCTTTGAACCTGCTTCACATACTCAATGCTTTCTCTGTTTTCTCCATCAAGCAATTCTCCCCTCTTTTTCTGTTCTTCCATTCCACCATCTGTTTTTTCCTGGGTGGTGCTTAGCATTTCTCTAACTATTCTGCATACTTCTAGCTTCAGGTCGTTGATAACTTCATTCCTGAATTGGTCTATGAGGCTCTCTATATGGCGCTTAATGTATATTGGTGCGATGTCCACTACTGCCTGTTTCTCAGGAATGGGGGCCGAGGAGCCTTTTTTGTTGCTTCCTTTCCCCATATTTTCTGTTCCTTATAAAATGCAAGCTTACATAGGAGGCCCGGCTTCCCTGCCTGTCAGCCACAGCCTGATCAAATTGCGCTGGCTAGTTGTTCCCGCCCACCGCTGCGTACCAGGGAGTTGCGGAGGAGGCAGCCTACGCGGGAGTCACCCCTCCGGGCCACCGTCAGGCTCTGGGATCCGGGTTAGGCCAGCCTAGGGAGTCCGCCCGCAGCGTCACTCAGGCCAGGCTCTTTTCACCAATCCCGTCCGAGAGGGGAATGTGTGGCTGGAGTCGCCACCGCGCCCTGCTCCTGCAGGACTGCCTGAGCCCAGAAAGTCCTCCGCTGGAGTCAAACTGTGGTAGGGGGTCAGTTTCTCTCACTCACCTCGCCACCAGTCAGTTTTCGTGTACGCCTCCTTGTCCGTCCTGTTTTCGACTCCGTTCGCAGACTCCCGTTCCCAGAGCTTCTGTGCATCTCTCCTTGCCAAGCCACTGTGGAGGCAGCCAGCCGCCGGGCGGCGAGAAACCCAAATCGCGGTTTCCAATGGCGCCGGGTCGAGCCTCCACACCAAGTCTTTTCTGTTCCCATTTTAGCGCCAGGACTGTATTCTAAGTTGGTTTCTCTCAGCCCAGTTCGTTCCTGAGTCAGCAGAGCATATCTCTACCGGTTCGTGTCTCCTTAGTCCGCATCATTCCTGGCCTCTGAGCCAAGCCTTTCAGAGAGCCTCCGGTAGTTGCTGTTGTCTGTCCGCCATGTTCTCAATCCACTCTTAATACTGTTTTTCTCCCTTCTGTAGATATTATTGACCCTGCAATTCTACGCCCAGGCCGGCTGGACAAAACACTGTTCGTGGGTTTGCCACCCCCAGCGGATCGTCTTGCCATCTTAAAAACTATCACAAAAGTAAGTAAAGGGGCACACTTTGTCGATGTTTCTGTCATTAACTGCGGTTAAGATGGACAGGAATTCAGAATGGCTGATTGCTTTCTTTTCTGTAACTATGTGTATGTGCCAGATTTCTGTCTTAGAGAGGAAAGGGAACTGCTGTGATCTTTGAAGACATTGCCCCTTCTCATTTTTACTTGCTTACAATATCAGTAAACTAAGAGAAGGGTGTTTAAATACTGAGCTACTGCACTTGAGTTAATCCTTGTGGTGGCATTTTCTACTCCTTGAGATTTCCGATGAATTAATATCAGCGCATGCAAAATAGAAAGAAGGAAGCACGTCACCCTAGCCTGCGCTACTGCAAAACCTTGTGCACTGGTCTTTAAAACAGATTTACTTGTGAGGTGCCCTGTGCAGCAGGGTGGTGAGTGCAGAATACTAAATGAATGCTTCCAGTATAGAACATTAACTTTATTTAAAACTTAAGGGCTGGGCGTGGTGTTGCATGGTATAATCTGAGCACTCTGGAGGTTGAGGTAAGAGAATTGCCTTAAGTTCCGGGCTAGCCTAGGACTACATAGTGAGTTCAAGGCCAGCCTGAACCATATATATAATGATACCTTGTCTTTAAAAAATAAAATAAAAAAGGAAAAGACATGTAAAAGAACAGAATAGAGGGAATTGTTAAACTTCTGGTGAATGTTTCTTATTAAATGTTTACTTTCATAAAAGAAAACCTTAAGAGCTCTTTAAAGAGAAAACAAACAAAAAAAAGTAGGAAAGCCAGCTGGGTGTAGTGGCACACACTTGCACACACTTGTAATCCCAGGACTCGAGAAGCTAAGGCAGGAGGATTGTTACAAGTTTGAGACTAGCCTGAGCTACAAAGTAAGCTCAAGGCCAGCCTTGGACTATAGAGTTGAGACCCTGTTTCACAAAGATGGAAAAAAAAAAAAAGGAAAGCAAAGCCAATGATTAGGTGAGCAGATGAAGTTATAAAGTTTCTTTGATACCTTTTTCATTTGTTTTGTTTTGTTTTGTTTTGAGACAGGGTTTGGCTATGTGGTTCAGGCTGGCTTGGATTCACTGTGTAGCCTGTGCTGGCCTCAAGCTTGCAACAGTCCTCCTGCCTCCAGGCTCCTGAGTGCAGGAATTATTAGGTGTGCACCACCATGCCCAGCCAACAAATTTTTTAAAAATTACTTTTTATTGATACATATTAGTAATACAGAGTGAGATTTATGCTAGTATATTGGTACATACACATATTTCATTTTCATCCCTATTACTCCTCTTGTAACCTTTCCTATACCTTATCTCTTCTAGTTCCCTGTCATCTTCCTTTTTTAACCCTTAAATGCCTAGCGAGCCATTTTTAGAATATCCATCACAGTGGAATACAGCAAATGTTTTCTCTTCAGATTCTTATTCCTTGTAGGCATGAGGTCATGAGTACCAAAAAAAAAAAAAAAAAAAATTCTTACTCCTTGAATTTTTCTAAGTAACATATGTGAGTTTCATGCAAAAAATTTCAATGTTTAGCATAAATGGGTTAAAAAAATACATATGTATTTAGCTTGTTCATAAAAGAGCACCTGATAGGGGCTGGGGATTTAGCTCAGCGGCATAAGCTCCTGCCTTGCAAGCAGGCAGTCATGAGTTCGATCCCTGGTACCACTAAGAAAGAAACGAAGGAAGGAAGGAAGAGAAAGAATAAACGAACACGTTATATTTTACTGAGTATGGCTTTTTTTTTTTTTTTTTTTTTTTTGCTGCCAGGGATCAAACTCATGACTGTCACTTGTCAGGCAGGTACTTTCACTGCTGAGCTAAATCCCCAATCCGCATGTGGCTTATTTCATCTAAAATGATGGTCTCCATTTGTGTCCATTTTCCTGCAAATAATACCATTTCGTCCTTTTATACAGCTGAGTAATACTCTGTTATACTGTATTTTCTTTTTCCTTCATCTACTGCTGCACATCTAGGCTCTACAGCTTAGCTATTGTGAATTGTGCTGCTTTTTTTTTTTTTTTTTTTTTTTGTCTTTTTCCTTTTTATCGGTACTAGGGATCAAACACACAACCACACACTTGCAAGGCAGGTGCTTATGCCGCTGAGCTAAACCCCCAGCCCCAATTGTGCTTCTTAGAACATGCATATTTTGGTATGGTATGCTGACTTTAGTGCTTTTGGAAAGTTGTACCCGGATATAAGTTAATGGAATATGTACTTCCTTGTGTGTCTCTTAGAGTCATGACTTTATGTGTCTGCTGAGTGAGTATATGCAATGTATATGTAAGTTATGAATCAGAGCAGTAAGCAGCCCCTCATGAATGTTCCATGTAATGTGGTAGATTGTTTGTTTGGTTGGTTGGTTCTAGGGATTGAACTCATAACCTTGTGGTTGCCAGACAGGTGCTTATGCCACTGAGCTAAATCCCTGGCCCTAATGTGGCAGATTTTAAGTCACTGAAACTTCATTGCTTGCCTCTGGAACATAAGTCACTAAGGACATTACTAAATGGTACTGTGTGATGTGTTAGAGACCTGAAACTTAACCTGATCATTGTTTCTGGCATCCTCTCCCATGAGCTGAAGGGAAATTAGCTCCAAATTTAGGGTTGGGTTTTAGGTAAAGGATTTACACCTCTTGGGTGCAAAGGGCTGGTGTCCAGTGAAGAGTAGGTTACTGCTTGTTCTCGACCAGCTGGATTCAATGTGATTTTCCCTTCCTAGCCAGCTCACATCGGTACTCTGCATCTGTGCCTGTTGACACTCAGCGTTACCCAAGTGTACGCCATGTTTTATCAGCCTGTGATGACTGCTGCGTAGACTGTTTGCCTTTAGCCTTCCCAAACGTAAAGGATGCTTCCTCCACTCTCTTCTAACAGAAACAGAGACTCTACAATGCCAGCCCAGGAGTTGGCCCCTTTTCTTGGTCAGAGGCCGGGTCACTTTGCTATATAACTGGGGTGTCCATGTACTTTGATCACCCCAGGAGTAACCATGTGTCTTCCCTTGTTTAGAATGGCACTAAACCTCCACTGGATGCAGATGTAAATTTGGAAGCAATTGCTAATGACCTTCGCTGTGATTGCTATTCGTAAGTATTTATTTATTTATTTTTTATTCGTAAGTATTTAAATCTCAAGCCAGTTCACTTTTGGCAGTTTCTCCATTGTGGCCCAGATTATTGAGACAGTGACAGAAGGGGTCCTACAGAGCTTCTTACATACTTCATGGAATTCCTCCAACAGCAATTCCTGTCATATGTTGCCTCCAGATACTCACACAATTTTGCTGTCCTTCACAAATTATCCTTCAGAATGTTTGTGCAGGTATTTCATAACTGGTCAGCACACTAGCCCGCTGCTTTGGCATTGGACAGAGTAAACCCAAGGGCCTTGTTTTCTCTGAATGCACTTTCCCAGGCCACCTCCTCACAACCTACAGTAACAGCAGGAAGTACGGTGTTTCTGCCACTAGATTTCATCTATTTATGCTTGTTGTAGACATTGGTTCTTTTTCCTAGTTATAGAGCAAGTTAAGGACCCAGGAATTTGTCCTCTTTCTCTGTGGTGTTCTTGCTGTCAGTCTGTCTGTCTGTTTGTCTATCTTGTCTTTCTCTCAAAGTGATCATCGTACTACTTTAGGAGAAAAAGGTTTAAGGAAGTAGTTTAGAGCTCTTGTGCCTGCATTTCAGAAACCTGCCAGGGAGTTGCGGACATGATAACAGCATGTAGCTGGGGCACATCTCGCGGCTTTCACCCAGCAGGGTATCTGTATATGTAGCACTAGGCTGAAGGTTAACATTCTAGATGCACATTTTGGCTTTTAATGCCACTGTCATCACCCTTTGAGAGACACAGTACTACTCCAGTGTTCAGCTACCTGTTTGTATTCATGGAGTGTTAGATTTTCAGGCCATGTCCACCCTCTTGCACTCAGTCTGGTGACACATGGCTTGTCTGGGCCACACTAAGTAGACGGGGGGTGCATTTAAAAATATATATTAATATGAATATCAAAATTTCCTTTTTAAACATGTTTTTATTGTAACATGGTCCTGTGTAGCCTATGGGCCACCAGTTGAACAATATTGGCATATTATTCTGAAGTAGTGTTGTAGCTTTCTCACGTAACCAACAGAAGCAGGGGATTTGGTAAGTGATGCTCTGTGCACCACTATTTTGTGTACGGTGTGGATCCTCCTCAGGTGAGTTAAATGTGTTCTGTGACTGGGTATGAGCTCTTAGAACCATGCTGAGCCAGCATGTTGTTCCAGGGAATAATCTCAGAAACATGACATCTCTACTGAGCTTCAACATGAAGCCCATATTCTGGGCTTTTATATTCTGCTTTCCAGGCTGGGAATTGAGGTCATGAGTTTGATCTCTGGTCCCACAAAAAAAAAGTCTGCTTTCCAATTTGGAAGCACAAATGACTTTTTATGTAATACATAATTATGTTACTCAGCAATTTCACTTCTGTTGTTTGTGGCTTTTTTGTTTTTGAGACAGGATCTCAATATATAGTTCAGGTTGGCCTTGAATTCATGGTGATCTTCCTGCCTCTCAGCCTTCCAAGTGCAGGGATTACAGGTGTGCCAGGATTACCATGCCTACTAACACTTTAGCTTTTATTTGTGAAAACATTGCAAGAAATAATGTGTTTCTTCCCACTGGATGTTTTGTATTAACCTTAGTTGCTCTGGGTCTGTTTTTCATTGCTCTGCTTCCTCCATAAATCCTTTATAAAATCCAAAAGCTCAGGTGGCTGGTGCTACATGCATGTAATATCCCCACTCTGGGAGACTGAGCCAATTTAAGTCCAGCCTGGTCAGTTTAGCTACTTAGCAAGACCATGTCTCAGAAACAAAAAAATTAAATGTGGCTCTGGATGTAACAGTGTGATGGGCCAGGATTTAATCCCCAGTACTGAAAAGAGAAAGAAAAAAAAAAGAGGAGTGTTTTAGTTACTTTCCTCATTGGTGGGACACAGTGTCAGACACGACTTAAAGGAAGAAAGGTTTATTTTGACTCACATTTGAGAAATTTTGGTATGTATTCAGCTGGCTCCAACAGGGGTCTGGGCAGAGAAAAACCACACATGTCAGGGCAGCCAGGAAGCAGAGCAAGAAGGAAGAAGCTGGAGATAGATTTGCCTTTCCAAGTCACTCTACCTCCCTGACCAGGCCCTCCTCCTTACAGCAAGTCAGTCATAGCACCCTGTGGTTCTCTACTTTGTCCTGCCTGTGAGTTGCATGAGGAAGGTCTTGGGAGACATGTAGATATAAACTATAATAAAAGAAAAAAAGCTATTCCTTTGTGTATATCCCAATCAGATTTTCCCACCTTGTTGGTCAGTCTTTTCCTCATTGTTTCATGTGAACAGTAGAAAATTACCATCTGACCTCTGGGGTTTGCAGTATTTAATAATAAATACGCAAGAACACTTCTTTTGTTACAGGGGTGCAGACCTCTCTGCTTTGATACGAGAAGCTTCTCTTTGTGCCCTGAGACAGGAAATGGCAAGAGAAAAGTACGGAAATGGAAAAGGTATAATTTTTCTGTTGAGTTATCAACTATTGCCCAGGGAAATGATGCTTTTTTGGTGTCCTTTTTCTGTGATAAGGAAGATGCCATTTTCCCTACCCTTAGAAACTGCTCTGCAGTTTTGTGTAACCTCTTTATTATAGTAATATCATTATCAGACCAGATAGAGACAGTGAGTTAATATAGTCTTTTCATGGATTGCGTCTGATGGCCAGTTGTAAAAATCCACTTTGTTTTATTAAAGTCATACCTACTTCCCTGTTAAAGGACGCTAGGACCGGAAATTTAGCTCAGTGGCAAGTGCGAGGTCATGAGTTTGATCCCTGATACCACACACAAAAAAAAACCTAAATTGGAGAGGTCACAAATGTTAACACAGGAAAAGTTAACATTGGAAAAACTCCATAGATTGGCACAAGTTGGTGCCGGTGTTTCTCAGTCTTTACCCGAAGCACTCGGGGTAGAGTGCCTGCTACTGCTTGTGGTGGGCCTGGATTCAGTCTCCAGCATTATAAAATGAAACAAGCAAAAAACCCAGAATCTGTATTTGACTGTATGATGATTTGGGGACATCACAACCGCACAGTTTGACAGTGTCTTTGCTTTTATCATTTGGGTTCTTATGGCTGAAACAGACTTATTTTTGCCTGCATTCTAGTTACATACACTACAGTAATGTCTATGTAAAAAGTTGACTATTTTAAGATAAAGTTCTCATCAGGTAAGTTACTCTATGAGCATTTTTCTTCAAGCCATGTATAAGTTAGCAGTTTTATTTCCCTCAGTAAAGAATTACAACCCCTGGGGCTGGGGATTTAGCTCAGCGGCATAAGCACCTGCCTTGCAAGTGTGTGGTCGTGAGTTCGATCCTTGATACCGATAAAAATGAAAAAGACAAAAAAAAAAAAAAAAAGAATTACAACCCCTGATACAGTATTATATTTTATATTAATATAAAACATACCATGATATTATAACTCCATAATATTTAAATACTGTATATCTTAATGTGCCTTTAGTACTGTGGAAGACTATGTTCTGTTGCCAGTTAAATGGATATGCTGCCAAGAATTCTGGTTCTTTTTCAAAAACAACCAGCCCAGCACAAGGGTCAAATACAGTATTATCTACTTGGGAATGATGAATACCTTTGGTGGTATAGGACTAAATCTGATGAACAAAATATATCTGACTTGATTATTACACTGAAGAAGATCCTGTCCTGTCCCAGGTCTCCGTGTTCTCTTGAAGGCTTGATGTTTTCCAAGAGAAATTTTAAGTTGTAACTCAGTAGGATCTACTTTAATGTGTGCATTTGCTCTACAGGTGAGCTCAAGATTAGTCATACGCACTTTGAAGAAGCTTTTAAGAAAGTGAAACCATCTATATCAGTAAAGGTAAGAAACAGTCTTCAGTTTCTAGATAAAAGACGTTAACAGTGATACCACTACGCAGAAACTCATGAATTATATTATGGATCACACCTTCTATGCCTTTTCTGACTTCCAAACTTTCATGTTACATTTTGACCTGAAAAAAAGCACAATAATTGCCTTTGTGTGTTGTTGAGAGTTTAATTTGGACTGGAAAACAATTCTTTCCTAGCTTCTCAAATCACAGTTTACTGAAAGAGGACAACTGTGTGTGTTTTCACAATCTCAGAAATGTTAGTTAGTTTCACTGAGGTGTTATCTGAGTTGCCATATCTTTTTTGACCAATTTTTCTTATCTTCTTGGAGCTTAACATACCCAAACTAAATAAAGTTTATGCTTACATTTCAGAGAAGAAAAAATATTTTCATGATAAGGTAGGAAAAGTGAACAGTCTGGCTTCTCCTTACTCGAAATTCCATGTTTTACTGGTTTATTTCTTACTGTGCTCAGATGTTGTATTGTGTTAAGTTTAAGCTGGTTGCTGTTAAATGCAGTCAGGTTATTTGTAGCACTCCCTAAGACAGGCAGCAAGGAACACCCAGCCCTGAGAAATGCCTGAATCTTCTATTATTGTGGTAAGTTTCATCAACTTGGTATTGTGCTTTAGCCAGAATATGCTTTAGCCATGAGAACCTATTCACTGGCAATACAGTAAGACTTCCCTTAAATCATAAACCATGTATTACCCCAGGTTCAGCAGTTCTCATGACTGGATTGAAAAAATTGAGCCTAGGGCTTAGGGATTCAGCTCAGCGGCATAAGCACCTGCCTTACAAGTAGGCAGTCGTAAGTTAGATCCCTGGTACCGATAAAAAAAAAAGCAAAGAAAAAATTGAGCCAGAGTCTAGAACTGTTGGTGTGGAATGAGTGCTGTTTTCAGTGCTCAGGTCCATGTGTTCTGACAATTGACTACATGTCACTGTTACCTAACTAAGTGAATAAGCAGCCAGGAACAAGAGCAAGTGACTGTCTGTGCACCACCTTTCCCACTGCAGGAGCCACAGTGGGCCTCCCCTTCTCTCTTTGAGCACCATGGGAGAAATAGCAGTCTGCCTTCACCTCTGAGGCATTGCAGGGACCTTTTTATTTTACTGAACATCTTTGAATAAAATGTAGTCTCCCTAATTGAAATCAGAAAGAGTCTTGGAGTTAAATTTGTTGCCCTTGTCATCTAATCAAAAAGGTACTGGTAGTGAAATGTTTCTTGTTAATAATAAAGAAATAATACTTTTCTTTTCACTGGAGTTATTTTTTTATTCCCACCTGAGTTTCAGATTTTTAAACTCTTAGGACATAACTGGCATAGCTCCATGTTCTCCTCTCATCCTCTGAGCTTGCTTCACACATTGAAATTTAGTTTATGTATGACAGTACACAAGCTCGCATGTGCCTTTCCTTGAGCTACAACCAGTGTCACCAAAGTGCAGAATGTTTGCATCACTGCAGATATGTGTATGTTCTTTATAGTGAGCTTCTTCCCAAATTCCACTGACCTGATTTCCACATGATTGAACTCTTAATTTGCCTGCTGTACAGCATTTGGTACATAGAATGGGAGGATGTGTACTGGTTTGTGTCTGGCTTCTTTTTTTTGGTACTAGAGATCAAACTCACAACCTCCCACTTGCCAGGCAGGTGCTTATACCTCTGAGCTAGATCCCTGGTCCTGTGTCTAGCTTCTTTTGCTCAAATAGTGTCCTTGAGATTCACCTGTGTGACTTGTTTTCAGGAGTTTTGTCTTTTCTCTTGTTTAGCAGTATGCCATTGTGCATGTATATTGGTGCAAGGATAAGGGCTTCTTACCCTTCCACCAGTGGAAATGCAGCCATCTGTTACTATGTATGGAGTTTTGTGTCCGGGATCCCAGAATTCTGTCAAACTTATACAGTGCTCATTTTTCTCATGTAAATTGGCATTGCATTTGTACATAATGTAACTCTATGTTTAGTCATACCCAGTTCAATATAAATGCTGGCATTTATTTCTTATGGCCTCGCTGTGATGTTATGGTATTGTTTAAGAAATAATGGGAAGAAAACAGTCTGTGCATGGATAGTACAGAAACAGCTTTTCTCCAAAACATTCTTGATCTGCATTTGGTTGAATATCTAGACAAAAATTGGAAGAAAAGAGGCAACTGTAATTTTTATCGTAGTGTTATAAGCCAGGTCATAGTAACCTTTGTCCACATTTACATGGCTATCTTGTTATTTGTTGAAGCAGCATTTCTGTCCTTGGTGAGCTACCATGTTCTTTTTGAAAATCCATGGGTCATACATGCATGATTGCGGTTCTGCATTCTGCCTTTTCTTTGACCTTGATAGTTATCTCCATATCACTACATCTTCTTTCCAGGGTCTTGATTTTCTTAAATAAGATATTATTATTTATCTTTGGGAAAAGGCACATAGTATGGAGTTTGAATCAGTAATATGAAGCAAATGGATGATCGAACTGATTTTTATTATATTTAATCTTAAAAAAATAAGGGATAATGTTAAGGTTCTGAGTTTTTTCCATTTAGCAAATCGGGTCTTCGGGGCGCTTCTGGAAGCCATAATGTAGCTGTTGGTGGGAGGGAGAGGACAACCTCATCCTGTTCCACCATGAATTACGGGAATGCAGGGCCTCCTCCAAAAAATTAAGCGTTAAAAAAAATCGTCATTTAAAAGGTATAAGAGACCAGGGTAGTAAGAATAATTACTCATTTTCAGCTAATTTATATTATCTGATACTTCTATAAACACTTTCATAAGAAAAAATTACGATATATTTTTCTCATCTGGTTCTAAAGGAAGCATGCTTATAGCATCATCCTGTTGTCAGCAATAGCATTAAGAAGCAGCGGCCCTGTTACCTTGTTTCAGAATTAGTTAATTCAGTATTTTACTAATAACTATCTTATGGGCAGTTTCAGAACTTTTTGAAAGATGTGTGAAAAAGTTTTAAGTTTATCTCTTCCAGGATTTGATTTCTGTTTTAAATGCAATAGTTACTCTTCCTCTGTGTCTCTGCCAGGGCTACTATACCAAAAATAGCATAGATTAGGGAGCTTATAGAACATTTTATCAGAATAGGAACAGTTAGGCTAGGTCATGCATAGCTGGGGGAGAGTTGCATCCATCTGTCAGTAGGGTGACAGTTTGATATATCTGCCAAAATTACAATTGTACCAAAAACTGAGACTCACCAAGTTCTTTTTTTATGAATTTGTCATCAGAACTATTCATGTCCATCTAAAAGTTAAAAATTCACTAGAATATTATATATAATGAACGCCTAAGATTGAAACCCTTAATACTTACATAATCAATTAGGATGTTGCTGTACTACAAACTGAAGACCCTCTCCCAATTATATTGTTATATAAAGGGCTAGGAATTCTGTCTGTGACATTCTATCTTCTATGTAAGAAATAATTACAGCAGTTTTATATAAGCAGAAGGAAAATCTCAGAAGATACACTGGTGATGTGAAAGGAAGGAACATGTGAGAAAGAGCTTTTTCCCCTTTGTAAATTTTCATATATTTTTGGAATCTTGTAAATATTTTACCTGTTCAAGAGAAAAGTGTAACATAATTGGCTTTTTGTTTACATTCGGAATTTTTATTTCAAAACAAAACCATAGTAACATTAATAATAGAAAATCCAGGGGCTGGGGATTTAGCTCAGTGGCATAAGCACCTGCCTTGCAAGCAGGCGGTCGTGAGTTCGATCCCTGGTACCGATAAAAAGTTAAAAAATAATAATAATAATAGAAAATCCATATGGAAATGTTTACAACCTAGTCACTGATAAGTGGGAAAAGTTCCACCCTGCATTACTGCCAAGTCACTGAAGAGGCAGAAGAGGTACAGTGTGAGGAAAGTTATCTTTTCCACCAGAGTTTTGCTACTTAGCTGTGTAAGTTTTTATCCAGTGGCTCAGCAACCAAGGAAATGATGAGTTAGATACTGTTACATACAGAGGTTTGACTGAAGAGTCTGAATGTATAAATACCAAGGAAGAAAAGAGAGACCAGATCATCTATGAGAAACGGAAGAGAGTGAGTGTTATCTGATCTCCATTTTTAAAAGAACTGGAGGCTGAGATGGCTTTGGAGATCCCTATGACGCACAGTAACAACATACTTAAGCTAGATAATAATCACTCAAAAAGAGTCCTTTCCCAGAGCTGAGGTTATACATTCCAAGTTAGCTCTTAACACACAAACTCTTAACAAAATCTAGGAATACTGAACTCCTAATAAGAACCAACTTTTTAAGGTTTTTGTTGGGAGAGGCCTCCCACCACAGGGCAGTGGGAGTGGGATTAAAAAATGTGCCTCCACTACCAGGGGAGGGAGTTGTTAGGTCAAGGAAATGTGGGGATAGACAGGGCTTGTTACAACTAACCATCCCTTCTCAGGATTCCATCCAAAATCAAAATCAGTCAGCCACCTGTAAAAGTTCCAGGAAGCCAGTAGTTTTCTTCTACACAGCCATGTGATTCTTCTAAAGTTGAGTTTTAAAGAGTTTCCACTGGAGACACAAACTGCTAGGAGACAGTGTCCCCATATCAGGCCCCACATTACATTCTCCAGTGACAAATGGCATTTCTCCCTTAATCTCTAGTATCAAACTTCCTTTACCCCATAACTTTGAATACCTGTATCTAACTTTAGTTTTCTTAATGTGTTTGTTACTTTGTTACTGGGACAATATACCTGACACCTGCAGCTTAAAGGAGGTGTTTATTTTGGCTCATGTTTTAGAAGTTTTAGTTTGTATTTGGCAAGCTGTGAAACATAGAATCCTTCTAGTGGAAGGATCTAGGTGGAGAAAAGCTCCTTGTGCTTGGTGGCCAGGCAGCAAAACTAAAGAGTAGCTGGGAGGGCCAGGGATATATCTCAGTGGTACAAGTGCCTACCTGGCAAGCGCAAGGTCATGAGTTCAGTCCCTGATACCAAAAAAAAAACAAGTAGCTGGGAAGGGACATACATTCTGCCAAGTCAAACCCTGCCTGCCCCTAACAGTAAGTGAACCACAAAGAGTCCAGTCCACTTGCAGAAGCTCCACCTATCAGCACATGGCGCTTTTGGAGGATACCCACATATAGACTGTACCATTCTGCCCTGGCCCCCAAAAGACATATGTGCATCTCTTTATTCAAATGTATTTAGAGGAATAAGAGGATAGAATCACTACCAAAACCCAGAAGGACAAATGTTGAATACTCTGACTCTAGTCTAGCAACCAGGGCAAGTTACAAGATAAGAGGCTTGGGCAACCCTGCCACTGCAGCACCGCCTGACACAACCTTAGGGGCCTTTCTTTTGGGCTGCCTCCCCTTACTGCGTGTGGCCGGCCGCAATGACCTTCTATATTGCTGGCTGCTCCCGCTTCCTGGCATCTCCACTGCACTTTTTGGGCTTTAGTTCTCACAGCTTTGCTCATGCCCTTAGGGGAAGAGCTGTTCTAAAATCTGGGTGGAAGGATTCAGCCACAGGTACCATAACAGTACCACAGACTGTGAACTTAATCAACAGGAATTTTATTTCCTCACTGGTCTGGGGACCTGATGCTTAGAGCAAGATACCAGAACTGGCTTTTCTGAGGCTTCTTGTCACAGAGGGAGCTTCTTGTGTCTTTGCATATCTGTCTTTGCATATCTTCTCACTGGGAGACCAGTTATTAGGGCCCAACCATCTGACTTGACTTAATCCCTCCTTAAAAGCTTTATCTGCAAGTACAGTCACATTTTGATGTCCAGGAGTTAGGATGCAGCATATGAACCTGCGGGCACACCATTCTGTGCATAGCCTTATTTGCTTAGTGTTGTGTTGTGCCTTTTCCTCTCCCTAAGGATCAAAAAATGTATGAAGCTCTTCAGCGATCCCTCAGCCAGTGACAACTCCAGCAGCCAGCGTGGTGAATCCGGCACGTGGAGCCAGTCAAGCAGTCCAGTGCTTGAGGATGCTCGCCCTCAGCTCAGCAAAGATGAGGTCTCATGTAAGCATTTTATTTTCAAATTAATGAGGATAAGCTACAACTGAAGACTCTTCAAGCATCTGGCAGACCTTGTGGAAAAACTCCTTCAAGAAAAAAAAATTTATTACAAAATAAAACTGTACTTACATAAAATTTTTATTTAGAAACTCTTTTTTCCTCCTTGAAACCTGGCAGAAAAAGTGGTCCATGTGTCATGTCCATTACTCTAAATACTTCGATGTTGAATTCCTACCCACCAGGGTATTCTCCATAACCAGCCATCAAAGTCAGGGGATTAACTCTGGCACCTTGCTACCATCTAATCCATAGGACTAATTCCCAATTCTCTGGCAATCCCAATGATACCTTCAGAAAAAGGACCCAGTTTAGAATTGGCCATTTTAGGGAGTTGCTAAGCCTCTGGAGTCTTATGACAGTAATTCCTGTGGCTTGACTCTGGGCACTTTTGAGGACCCTGGGCTGTTATTTTCAGGAGGATTCACTATGCATTTCTGTGCACAGTTGTGATGTGTCCTCACAACTGATACACATGATGCGTGTTTGTTAGAGTTATCACAAAGCAATGCCTTGTTAATCTCTGCATCCACTAATGAGCACAAGTAATGATTGTTTCCATATTCTTTGATATAATTTAAACTGCTTTAGTAGATTGTAGTTTAGACATCTGACCCATTCAAAAACTGGGTTTTCCTGTTATGGGGAGACTTACAAACTATATTTGAGAAAACCTAAGACTCCTCGAGCTATGACTACTGAGTTATCCTAACATAAGTGGGCACTTATTCAATACTGGGTTTCTTCTCTGCATTCTCATTTGATTATTTTCTTGCTTACTCTGGCTACCATACATACATAGTCTCTAGTACCATACATAATTTTCCTTGCTCCATCAAAATTCTAACATGGTTTATAAAAAGTCTCCTTGCTGCTTTTGTTACCTATGATTATTAGTCTCCAACTTGCTATCAGTCCCAAATCATTTCTTTACCTCTGCCTACTCAAAGTATTTACATTCTCTTAAAGCCTACTAATCAGTCCCTAGCATAAGACTGCTGGCTGTGCCTAGCTGTTTTTCCCAATTGAACCACCCAGGGATATCCTACAGAGCCTTTTGATTGGACTCTTTTTTTTTTTTAAATCCATGCAGCATCTTTATAGTCTCGTTGATAGAGCTCTTACCTCTGAACCCTTATTGCTCCAGTCTGTTCTCATTCAGATATATACAGCCAAATTTAAACCACTTTCTCATGACAGCTGTTTCTGGTCTAGTATTTTCAGACTTTTAGTTTGTCTCTGGAGTTCTGATCTACATGCAAGCTATAGAGCACCCTCAATACTGTCAACCATGGGCAGTCTCACTCCCTGTAACTTTTCCTGTGTGTTAGACTAAGTCTAGAGGCTGAATTCCTTTCCAACATAATGGGTTCTCTAAACTTGTCTGGATCTGCCTTCTACAGACCCTTCTATTACTGGACAGGATAAAAATTCTGACTCTCAGACTGGGGATTTAGCTCAACGGCACAAGTGCCTGCCTGGCATGCATGAGGTGAGTTCAACCCCTCCAGTACCAAAAAAAAAAAAAAAAATCTGACTTCTCATATCAGGAAAGACCCCCCTTCTCAAGGCCTGATCTCAGCCTGAATAACTGCGGCCAGCTCTCCTGCAACCATTTAGTGCCAGTATATCACTTTATCAGTGACAGACATTTGTTTTTTCCTTCACTGACAGAGATAGTACTTTCAAAAAAACAAGACCCAAGGCATGCATCGGCCACAACTTTGCTCTTTTCAACCATTAACAGGAGTGGTATTTGCCATTTGATATTTCCTCAGAGGAACTCCAGCACTTTTATAACTGATACACATGAACTTTTCTGTCTTGATTCTTCTAAGATGTGTGTTCTTTGCAGGAATCAACCCCTCCTGTGCCTTCCTTTCCATTAGACAAGTGTTTCTATCACAGCTTATCTAGCCCCTGATACAGATTATTCCCAGCAACCAGCCTTTCCCCTTTCTGCCTCCGTTTGACCAAAAATGATGACTACTCTTAATTCCTGTCGTGGCGGACACAGGAATTGCCACAGGGATAGGAACAGGAGCTACAGGACTGCACTTAGTACAGCTTCTCCAGCAAGCTTGCTGAGGACCTTGTTCTAGCCTACTGCCTTAAAGGTCTTACAAGATCAAATAGATCCCTAGCTGCAGTGCCCCTTTCAAATCACAGAGATCTAGGTATACTAACAGCGCAGGAAGCCTCTGCATGGCTTTGGAAGAACAATGCTGTTACTGTATCTGCCAATCAACTGTTACACAACAAACTGTAAATACCCTCAAAGATGAGGCATCCCAATTAAAGGAGTAAGAAGTAACTAGTTTGCTCTCTTAGAAACATCCTTGGGATGGCTGTCACCCTCATCCAAGAGAATTCAGCCATTATCAACCACTGAAGACTCCAACTATTCCCTAACTACCCACAAGGAGGTAGCTCAGTCTTTTTACCATCTAGCCACTTTCAGCTCACCCAGACTCCTAGAGTAGTGCTCTCCATAATCTCCTTTGGAATGAGGACCACTCTCGAAAGAAACCAGAGGAAGAGATCAGGCCCTTGATTCTGGGGATTCTGTTTCAGGACACTTGAGACAGAAGGTATCTGAGGAGATGGCTGGAGAAAGAAAAGCCCTTCCTGCCTTGGAATCTACGTTATGGGCTATGTCAGAGGCAAAGGTTACCAAGAAAAAAATCTCTGGGGAGAAGGAAAGCCCACTGTGGATGCCCCCTTTCCGGGATTAGATCTTCCTGCTGAGCTAGACACTGGTTAACTAGTAGTGCACATCAGGACTGGGATCTGTTGCTTTCCTTACTACTTCCTATCCTGTATAATTTTGAAGCAAATTCCCACCTATCACTTAGTCCATATGTAGTTGATAGGTGATGTTCAATGGATAGATGAAGGTGAAGAAATAGAAATCCTACTTTTTAGACTTCAGGAAAAAAAATGTAAGAAAATGGACAAATATTTAACTCTGGTTATGAAAGAATGCAGATCTCTCCTTGGACATAGATAAGTGTTAGCACTGTAGTTTTTAACCTTACTGGATTCTAGAGCAATAGATGCTGTTTTTACAAGACTGCATACTTGGTGAGCCAGGCTTGGTGGCTGATGCCTGTAATCCCAGCACCCAGGAGACTAAGGCAGGAGAATCGTTGCGAGTTCGAGACCAGCCCAGGCTACAAAGTGAGTCCAGCCTGAACTGCATAGAGAGACCTTGTCTCAAAGAGACCAAAAAAAAAAAAAAAAAAAAAATACATGCCTGGCTGGTCCGAAGGTAGTGAGTTATCTCAATTGATTGTTCACAGTCAGTACAGATTGAACTCCTTGTTCTACTCTTTCCCCCCTTCTCACTACTGCACTTGACTAGTCTTTTAAAAAAAAAAAAAAAAATACATGCCTGGAAACATGGCGTTTTTAACTTTGGGTTTTGCTCTGCAATGTTACCTACAGTTAGTTAACTTCCTTTCCTGAGCCACATTGACTTAATGCTCCTAATGCATTCAACTGTATGTCTCAGCATTGCTCAGAGGAATACAAGAATCAGTGAGGATTCAAAACTTTTCGCCCAGAGCTCAAGGCCCCAGCTGACGGTTCCATGACCGGAGACCCTTCACATCCCATGTAAAAACCTGTAACTACAAGAACACCAAACCAGGGCTCAGACAAGTTCATTGCCCAAAAGTGTGCACTCATGGAAGAAGGATGACATGGGCTCCATTTCACATCTAAATTTGCTGTCCTTAAATGGGCAAGCACACAGTGGAAGGTGTCCCCTGCTGCTCTAGGAAGCAGGGCAAGCAGTAGGCTGAATAGCTGAGCATCATCTTCATGGAGGAGGACAGTGGGCAGCTCTGTGGTCACCACAGTGGTCTGCCCTCAGCTTCCCACAGGGACACTGCTGTGTCTTGTCAGCTTGCCAGTCTGAAGTCAGCCAGGTGGGGAGAAAGTAAAAGTGCTGCCTGTTTGTGCCCAGAAGCTACACACACTGCCCTGGGGATCACTGAGCCCAGACATCAGGGCCAGGGCCTGGACCTGGACGTTCATGCTACCTGTGTGGGACGAGCCAGCTTCCTTTGATTGCAGCTGTGCATCAGGCCCGTGGCTTCCCAGCACTGGCTGCCTGAGGAGCACTGAACAGGCCAATGAGGAACTCCATCCCTCCAGACTCCACGGGATACTGATGACTTCCACTGAGCCCATGGACCTCAGCAAAGCACCTGACCACCTGAGCCCACCACTACCTCCTTGTATCCTTTGTCAGGACACTAGGAGGAAATGTTGTACCAAAAGGAGGGCATCAGCAGGAACAGGAAGACATCCCCAGAAGTTCTGAGCAGAGGACACTTTGCTCCTCCCAGTGGGCAGCCACGCTGTCTGCTTGGCTCAGGCCTCGTCTCCTTCAGGGTGTGGTTACATAGCTGCCCACTACCCTCCATGAAGACGATGCCCAGCTGTGCCAGTCCACTGCTCACCCTGCTTCCTGGTGCACCAGGGGACACTGATGCCCCTTCCAGGCACACACGCTTCACCTGTGACCACCTCGTGGAGTCTGGAGGCAGAACATCCAAAGCAGCCCTGCCTCTTGACAGTGCATGCCCATCCCTCTGCTGGCTCTCAGAGATTCCTTACAACCTCCAGCCATCTGTTGGGTCCTGGCTTCTCAGTTTAGTGTCCCCTCATTTTCCCTCATAGGGATACAGGCCTCTTCTGTTTCAAGGGAGTCTTTATGTCTCCCCTCAAAGTTTGGGTTCTGGCTTTCCACCTCAAACATGAGTTTTCAGCCTCTTCAGAATATCTCACCTCAAAGATGACCCTCTGTACCATGCTCAGACCCAAGTGAAGTAGGTTTTGTGAACTGGTAAGAGACATTCCAAATCCATGAAACAACTTTGTCACCATAGTCATTCTCACTTGATCATCACAGGTGGTTTCTACAGCAAAGATGATGGCACTTCTAAAAATAGCTACGAACAGGGAACTGGGAGCTCAGGGAGGTGGGGGTTCATGTTGGAGAACACTACGAAGCGAAGCAGCTCTGAGCATGATTTAAATTTTACTAATAGGCTTTCTATGTTTTTCTGTGAGTCTGTCCTAGGCCTAGGCTTCTTGCCTGGCAACAGGAGCTGATTCATAAGTAAGTGAACCTCTATGAATCACTGGTCCTGGCTGAGGCCTGTAGTGGCCTGTGAGGCCAGAAATACCTCAAAGGGCAAGACAAGGCCACAGCTGCGGACACTCTGGCTCCAACCCCAATTAACAAAGTATAGACTGCAGCTATAAAAATTACTCCTACAGTCTCACTTCTACCATGTCTTCATGGTAAGACAGTGCTACTGAATGGACTTGATTACTTGGAGATGTCCTTTAAGTGACTCCCAAGGTCCTGCTCATTGCCTGCACTTTCCTCAGTTTCTCCGCCCTTTGTCCTTGGTCCTAATATAAGTGGACTGATCCAGAGAATCCTTTGTCTTTACCTCAAAGCCTCGAGCTTAATTAAAGGGTTTTGACCCTCCTGGAGCCCTAAGAATCATACAATTTGTCTCTTTATTTAACCTCTGCCATACACTCATTTGGGAGATCGGGGATCTAGGACAGAACCGGATAGGTTCACTCAGGCTCTCCCTGGCTTTCAGCTGCCCACAGCTGACTGCCACCTGGTTTGGCATCCCCACTAGTGCTTATAGCTCTTCCCCGATACACAGGAGCCAAGACCTTGACTATGGCTATCAAAGGTGACACCTCCAGGAGGGTCAGGAGGACAGACCTGTGAGCACAAGACCACTCCAGGGCCTGTGCAAGGCTCGGAAAGGAGAGTGGGGAGCTGCACTACCGCCTCAGGGAGGCCTTTAGGTGCCGGGATGTCTTATGGTGCTGATGAAGCAGCTCAGGGAGGTGGGGCTCAGCACAAGGTTCTCAGGACTTGGATGTGGGCAGGGACTTCCACATGAGGGCCCCCCATGTACTGTGTGGGTTGTGATTGGAGGAAAGGTGGGTGATGGAAGGATAGATGGGGAATGCAATAGGACCTACTTCCCAGTCACATTTGGGCACACACAGACCTCACCACGGCTGGGCGCCATGCTCACCACTGTGGCCCCAGCTGCTGGGGACGCTGAGGCAGGAGGCTCACTCAACATCATATTACATTGGAACCATAATATTTCATCCTTGGCCCCCGAAGATTAATGTACATCCCTTTATGGAAAAGGCATTTAGTCAATCCCTAAAACTTACCAAAGTATTAGCAGTTTCAGCATTGCTGAAAAGTTCAAGTCCAAAATCTCATCTGAGATACAAGCCAACTCTTAGCTTCAGGCCCCTTTATAAATGAAAATAAGGTTAATTACTTCCAACATTTAATGGCACAAGGTAAACATTTTCATTCCAAAGGTTACAAACAGGAGGATACAAAGAATTGGGACCAAAGCAAATCCAAAATCCAGCATAGTAAACAAATCCTGTAGTTCTACGTCCAAATTGTGAGCACTAAAGGGCTTGAGTGACTTCACATGGCACTTTGATGGTAGTAGCTCCCACAGCTTCTCTCTTAGGCCTGTTTGTTCACTCCTTGCAGCTTTTCTTAGATGACCCATATTTCTGACTTCCAAACTGCTGAGGTCTCCACTGGACCTTTGGCCTCACACTCACAACTTCACATATTGCTCTCTTAGGGGCACACTGCCTGGCCTCCCAGGCCTTCTGAAATTGGACTGCAAGCCTTTTAAACCTCCAAACTCTTATATTCTGTATGTATCTAAAACCAGCACCACGTGAATGATGCCAAGGTCTGGTGCCAGCTGCAGTTGTAGCCGGGTTTTTCTCTCTCTTGGTTGTAGGAATCAAGTGCCTGAATCACTGAGGACTCTGAATACAATTGTAAGGAACAGATTTACTATGGTGCTGCCATTCTGGTGCATGGTGCAGCTGCTGCCATTCTGGAACGTAATGCTCTGTGGCTTTCACCTCAGAGCAGTTTTTCACTTCTTCAGTTTTGAGGCTGCAAAAGTTTGAGACTTGCTGCTTTTTGTGATATCTTCAGGCCATCTTTTCTCTTGTTCCTTCTCAGCAACAGAAATTTCCTCAGCTCTATTTTTGTAGTCCACAGCTTTATTGCAGCTTCCTTTTCAGTCAAATTCAGTGGTTTAAATCATCCTGTTGGGCCCTTTGCTCTTGACTTGCTACATAAATCTGGCAAAAAGCCCCCAACAGTAGCCATGCTACTGCCTCAATATTTGACTTCCTTGAGATTTTTTTTTTTTTGGCCAGAGTAATTAGTCCATCATTCTTTTTTTTTTTTTTTTTTTTTTTTTTTTTTAATTTTACCAGGGATTGAACTCGCGACTGTAATTTTACCAGGGATCGAACAGGGACCTGTCCTGAGACATGTGTGTAAAAGTGAAACTAAAAGTTTTTTTTTTCTTTTTCATTTTTATCAGTACTGGGAATCGAATTCACGACTGCCTGCTTACGAGGCAGGCACTTATGCCGCTGAGCTAAATCCCCAGCCCCGCAAACTAAAAGTTTTGTGACCAACGCTACGCGGGAGCCTGCTGCGCCACTAGAGTCATGGTAAGTGAATGGTGATCCTTTCCCTTTTTTTCCGGCATGGGTCAGGCATTAAGTGACACTTTGTGTCAGGTTTAAGTAAAGCTTTAAAGACAAGAGGGATAAAGGCTAAAGAAAAAGATTTATTGCAGTACTTTCAATTTATTCATAAGGTTTGCCCTTGGTTTCCTTTAAAGGGCTCTATTGATGCAAAAAGATGGAAAAGAGTAGGAGATGCATTAAAAGATAACTATCAGGTCTTTGGCCTTGTAAAGGTCCTAGTTATGGCTTGCCTATTGGAACCTAATCTTGGAGCCACTTACACAGCACTACCAAGACCCCCAAATTGATAAAACCATCACCCAAGGTGAAGCCGCCAACATTGCTCCCTTCAGGAGATGAATCTAAACCTTCTTGCCCCTCGGATGAGTCAAATGATATGTTAAAAAAGCCCCAAGATGGTGGCCCGCCGCCATCCAAGCCCCTATCCCCTGAGGCCCGCCACAACTCTCTATCTAAAATGGCGCTTACCTCACTTCTGCCACATCAGGGTGGGCCCCTCCCCAAAATGGCGTTTCCAGTGATGGAAACAAACGTACCTCCCCAAGAAGGCGCCGCACAGCCACAAGACGGCCCCGTGCTGCTAGCTCCACAAGTCATTAGGACCCAGATGCCATTCACAGTGGCAGCTTTAAAAGAATTAAAGATGGCAGTTGCCCAATATGGCCCTACAGTTGCTTTCACTCTTGCTTTTTTAGATTCTATGACCCAAGGTTGGATCATTCCAAATGAATGGAGGGATTTAGCCAAAGCTACTCTCTCTGGGGGCAATTATTTACTCTGAAAGTCTGAATTTATGGAACAATGTGAAAATATTGCTAGAGATAATGCCGCTAGAGAAAACCCCTGGATCCTTTCTGATAGAGTTATTTCCAAAAGATGAAAAATATTAACAAAAGACGAGAAATATAAAATAAAAAGCGGCCTTTATTCTGAGAACACGGAGAGAGATGACCAGCAACCCCACCACTGGCGTCCGGCGATCTCTCCGGTGGACACGTGGCGTGGGGGCCTGTAAATAGCCTCGGTTTGGGGTGGAACCTAAGGCGGGCATTAGGGATACACAGGTAGCCCATTGGTCCTAGGTTTGGCGCCATATGTAAATTCCCAGGGGCGGGAAGATGGCGTCACAGGTAACTTCCTAGGGTCAGGACAAGATGGGGCTTCCTGCTTCCAGTTGTGGCTTTCCTGGCTACAGTGTCCTGTCTGGGCCAAAACCTTTCATATCCCGTCTTATGATTATTATTATGAAAAGGGGCGAAGATTTCTCTCTTTAACTACTTCCTGCTGGCAAAGGGCGCTGTACTGGAGCCTAGGGGAGTCGACAGGATGAAGGTTGATGCCCAGGTAGACGCTGCTGCCAGGTGTTTTAGCCAGGACAACTTCACTGGTGAATGCACGTATGTCAGACTGGAAAAACAAAGAGACAAGATGTTATGAGGAGACATGGCACTGTCATATTTAACGACCCAGGTGAGGTAGAAGGAAAGGTGCCTTTGATTTAGACATATCATTCTATCAGGACCATGTTGAGGTAGAAACATTTCCACGGTAAGGCAGAATTCTGAAAATTAAACGTGGGGTTAGGAGGAGTGGAGTTATGAGAGATGCTTATTCCCGCATCTGAAAGCGGAAAAGTTAAGATGGTAGGTTGGTAAGGCTTGTCTCTGGTATGCATGATGTTGGAGTCTGTAGGCAATACTATTAAAAGAGTCCTGCTGTAAAAATGATCATTAATAGAATGTAAGAAATTAGGAACCAAAGTGGATAACAAAACATGACTTAGCCTGTTAACTGTGGCTGCGAGGCCTTTGTGGACGGAGACGGGTAGGCGACAGAAGATGAGATGACCACTCAGAATGATCAGATTTAGGGCTGGAAGGGCACCTCTTAGCCTGAGTGATGTGAAACCAGGATGGCAGTCCAGCAACTTTGATTTAGGCATGGGTCACTGTAACCTGGTTGTAGTCCTTGGAATGATTTGCTGTAACAGAACTTTAGCAAGTATGAGAAAGGCTTTTATGTATCCTGAAAAAGTATAAACCAAGTGAGAAGACTGGGACCTGCACAAAATAGGCCCTGTTTGTAAATGGCATAGGTTGACCATCAATACCCTGTCATAGAGATTGAGGACTTAATATAGCAGCCTGAATACTCAGGAAGAACTCTGTATATATGGCCTCTATGTCCACAAATATAGAGAATGTCTTACCTGAGACTTTAGTGCGACTTGGAATTTGAGATGGACACCCACAAAGGGGGCTGCTGGCCCTGAGTCTTCTCAGTTTTCAGCAGCGATTTTCTGTCGGTGACGAATCTGGCAGTGTCGACATTTCCTGTGAGGGCTATTACTTAGGATGACTTACCCACTCTCTGGTGGCTAGGACAGTCCAGTAGCCCTGGAGTAAGGTCTCAAAGAATGACAGGGTGGGGCATTTTTTTGCCCAGTATCTTCTGCTGCATTTGAGCATGGTCCATGGAGGGGCCAGGCAGCTCCACCTTGTGTAGGTTTACCTGTCTCAGAACTCCAAGTGTCACAAGTGTTAAAATTATGAAAAACCATATTAAGATCTCTCTAAGGTTTGAAGGTCAAGTTTTGCCTTTTTGTTTGGGATTTGGACTATAGTAGAATTAAGTAAGTATGCAGGAATTTAATATTGGCATTTTGGATTAGAGAGCAGGCTTTATCTGGATGGCATATCGCTTTTTTATAGGGTGACACGTAGAATTAACAAAGCTTTAGTCTGCCAAACAAGGCTTTAATGGAAACATTTTGCAGTAAAGGTTTAGCAATCTTATGAATAAATCAAAACTGATCTAATACTGTCAAATTCTGAACACATTTACTTTTAAAGTTGTTATTTGCAGTAGTATGAACCAAGACAAATAAAATAAAACTTTGAAGAAAACCCTTGTCTTGAAATAGAGCTAGTGGTTCCTAGCAAAAAGGAATTTATAACCTTAGTTGTTAAACAGGAGATTGGTGAAGGCTTTGATTGATAAACAAGGCTGGTAAAATTATCAGGTGGCCAATAACCTTGATTAAATGGTTTGAGAATTGTAATAAAAAAGCATCTTTTGAGTGGAGCCAAATTGTAAAAAAAAGCATGCCTGAGCAGAGCCGCTGAGCTGCTGTTTCGCTGCGCTCCGGCAGAGCACGCCCAGTGGGTGGGGCAAGCGCTGGGATGTAGCGCGCAGGGGCGGGCTCGGACCGCCCCCGGAAACGTGTAAGGTGGCAGCGGCGGCGACGGTGGCGCACAGGGGAGGGAGGGGCTGGGACGACGCATGGGGGAGGGGCTGGGAGGCGGCCCGACACAGTGCGCAAAGCTGGAACTGCTCACAGGGCGCGAGGAATAGAAAGCCAATTTAGGAACACAGCTGGGTTGTGATCAGCTTCTTTTTGAGCTGCTTGCCACAGCTGATTCCGTTCTTGTGAGCTGAGAGTGGTATTTAGAATCCCATAAACATCCTTAAAATGTAAATCATAACAATTAGTAATAAATTTAAATTGCTGGATATAATTTTGTGGGTTAACAGAGAGGGTACCTAATTTAAGGGTAATCTGGGATAGATCAGAAAGGGAAAAAGGCACATGGATGTTAACAAGTCTCTCGGGGCCAGCTTGCTCCCAAAGTGGAAGCAGAGCCTGAGGAGAAGATTCCAGAGCAGAGGGCCACTGAGCAGCCATCCTTCCGGTAGGCGCATGTGAGCAATCATCTGTAGAACGGCTACAGAGCTGCTGCCGGTCACCCTGGGAAACATGAGCAGATGGCGTCTCACTGTGTGCCTTGCAGTGAGAGGACTGCTGTCGGCAGCACAATGAAGCATCATGTGCACTGCAACAGGGCGGCTGTTGTAGTTCACAAGAGGAGCCACAAGGAGACGCCTGTTGACAGTGAGGGCCCTGGAAACATGGCGGCGCCCTGTCACGTGACCCAAAACATGGCGGCGCCTGGGAACATGGCGGTGCCCTGTCACGTGGCCCAAAACATGGCGGTGCCCTGTCACCATGTGGCCCTCCTGAACATGGCGGCGCCATGCCACGTGGCAGAGGGTTGCAACATGGCGACTGTTCCCCGCGCAAGCTGGAACAATCACGCGACCTGCTGGAAGGACATAGCAACCGAGACCTAGTATGGTGGGCAGGCGGTGAGAATGCTGTAGGGGATACAGAATTCTCAGGAGAGGAAGTCGGAGACTGCGAGGAAGCGCTAACAGAGGGATTAAAGCTGCTGGGAGAGTTATGGGTCCCGGAAGGCAGAGAGGGAGACGATCGCACAGCGGGAGGTATCTGCGTCGGAGAGGGATTAGAGCTGCTGGGAGAATCAGGCATAGGGGGAGGGGAGAGTGGCCCGGCGGGAGGTAACGGCAGGGAACGAGTTTGGTGGTAGGCAGGCGGCGGCCGGGAAAACACCGGAGGAACGTCCTCAAGCGAATCCTGAGGGTAGGGTGGAAAAGTTTGCGGCGCGGTAGAGTTAGCTAAAAGTATCTCAGCGGGAGCACAAGACTTAATGAGAGATGGGCGTGTTCTCAGAATAAGAAAGGCTTGGACATAAGGGAGTTCTAATAACTTGTTGCCAGCTTGACAAAAATCATACAAGTTCCTGAGAATGCAGGGGTCAAATGTTCCTTGCTGAGGCCAAGGCTTGCCGATAAGCGGGTAGGTTGGCCAGACCTCCTGGCAGTAAAAAGTTAGTTGTTTAGTTTTTATGGTACCTTTAATTTTTAGAGTACGTAAATTGGAAATTAGGCATTGTAAAGGCGTCTTTTGGGAGTTAGAAAATACGTTCCCCATGACTGATTCAGGCAAGAAAAAAAAACCGGAGGTCCAGAAAAAGTCATCACTTATTTGTGGTACCACGCGGCGGCTACGGTTCCAAAAACTCGTAAACTCCAGTTGTCACTGAGAGATTTACGAATGGAGTCTACGTGGGGTCAGTAACAGTTTTGCCCGTGAAAGCGCAAGGCTTTAAGGGAAGTGAGGCATTCTTTCAGTGTGGGCGGTCCCAAAGATCCCTCCTTTGGGCTATCCGAACCCAAAGAACGTGAGAGATTTTGTGGACGCAGGTTTGCCCAGAAAGAACCCTGCCCTGGGCGGTCCTAAGGACGTGAAAATGCACAGACCCACGCAGACGGGGAGAACATTCCACTGGGGCTGCCCAGTGCGAAAAGTTCCCCGGGGAGTGCTCACCTGAAATCAGTCTGGCCGATGTGGAGTGCAGGCGGCTGGCGACAGGAACGTCTCGGGAGAGGAAAAAGCTCGGGATTAATCCAGGATGTTATCTGGTTATCGGCTAGGAGACTCTGGGCATGTGGCCCAAGAGTCAGTTGCCTGCCGATCAAGTCACGGCACCAAATGATAGAGTTATTTCCAAAAGATGAAAAATATTAACAAAAGATGAGAAATATAAAATAAAAAGCGGCCTTTATTCTGAGAACACGGAGAGAGATGAACGGCAACCCCACCGCTGGCGTCCGGCGATCTCTCCGGTGGACACGTGGCGTGGGGGCCTGTAAATAGCCTCGGTTTGGGGTGGAACCTAAGGCGGGCATTAGGGATACACAGGTAGCCCATTGGTCCTAGGTTTGGCGCCATATGTAAATTCCCAGGGGCGGGAAGATGGCGTCACAGGTAACTTCCTAGGGGCAGGGCAAGATGGGGCTTCCTGCTTCCGGTTGTGGCTTTCCTGGCTACAGTGTCCTGTCTGGGCCAAAACCTTTCACTTTCCATGTTAACGGGAACTGAGGATTTTAACACCAAAGAGGCCCAAATGAGATATGATCCCGGCCTTTTTGCACAAGTTAATACAGCCACTACCAGAGCTTGGAGAAAGCTCCCCTCCGGGGGTGATGTAACCTCCTCCCTTACCCAGATTAGACAAAAACCAAAAGAGCCATTCTCTGATTTTGTCGACCATCTTGTACAGGTGGCCGACAGGCAGCCTCGTACAGGCGGCCAAGCGCCTTTTTGGCACCGTTGAAACTAATGCGGCCCTAATTAAACAATTAGCCTATGAAAATGCGACATCAGCTTGCCAAGCCATAATTCGGCCTCATAAAAAGAAGGAAGATCTATCTGGCTATGTACGCCTAAGCGCCGACATAGGCCCTGCCTACCACCAGGGTCTAGCTATGGCCGCCGCTGTCAAACAAGTCTTTCTTGCGCAAAAAAATAATGGTACATGCTTTAAATGCAACCAATTGGGACACTTTTTCCAGGACTGTCCTCTAAACAACAGTAGGGCCCCCTCTCGGTCGATTGTGGTAACAAGCTAGCTCACCTAACCCTCACTCAGTATTCCCAAGGGCTCTGGCAATGTCATCCCAAGCCCCAGGTAGTGCCAGTTGACCCAAAAGGCCAAGGCATTGTTGAACATGCACATCGTTCTCTCAAACTCACTATTAATAATGTCAAAAGAGGATCATGGTACCCTATCCAAGGATCCCTCAGAAATATTCTATCTCATGCCTTATTCATCCTTAATTTTTAAACTTTGGATGCTTCTGGACAGTCAGCAGCCATGCGTTTTTGGCATACTGAAACACAAAAGCAATTTGCTTCTGTACTATGGAGAAACCCCCTGACTAACTCACGGCGTGGCCCTGACCCCATTCTCATATGGGGACGTGGTTCAGTGTGTATATACTCCCATCAAGACAAAGAGGCTAGATGGCTCCCTGAATGCCTCATTAGACAAATTAATGAGCCAAATAATAATAACCCCAAAAAGGCCCAGGAGCAAACACATACCCTGAGGCAACTTCTTGTGCTTCCTTACAGAAAATGCCAAACCGATGGATTACGTGGTGCCTTCTTGAGAATCTCCTTGGACCACCCTTGACCAACGATGGATTTGGACCTCCTGTCACAAATGGCCTCTAACCCCTTCTCCACACTCTGGGGAGGGCTCTTCCCCTACCTAGCGCCCCTCCTGGGGCCCCTAGCTGCCTTGTTGCTTCTCCTCTCTGTGGGTCCTGGTATTTTTCAGAGGATTATAACCCTCATTAATAACCGGATAGACACGTTTATGGCAAAGCCCATTAAGGTACACTGTCACCAGCTGGAGATAGCAAATTAACAAACCTACCAGGAAGGAATTCCCACGAGTGGCCCATATGACAATATGGCCTAACTGCCCTGAGACAATGGACAGGCAGCCAGAGACGAGCAACTAGGACATACATGCCACAACACCAGCCGCCTAAGACAGGCATAGGACCAACTGCTATCCTGCAAGCCCATGACGGGTAAGGCCCGGTTGGGTTCATGTAATGAGGTCCTTGACCTAAGACAGGTGCTGTCCTCACAGGGCCTGCCATACTCCTGATTAAAAAATATAGAAAGGGAGGAGATGTAGGGAGTGGTGCGACCACCCCACTGCTGTCTCCCCGACTCTCCCTCATATGGGCACATAATGCGCCTACATTAACCATAATCCTCTCCTACTCATGTCATGTACACGGACGTGACGATGACCCATCAGAGATCACCCCATAGCCTCTTCCTGTCCCACTGGCCCGCCCCTGCCCTATAAAAGCCGCAACCACTTTCTCAATAAACGAGGCTTGATCGGACTTCCTCAACTTGTCTCTGTCTCTCTGTCTCCTACCCTGCATCTGTCAATCCCTGTTCCTTCACCAGGAAACTGCCCCATGGATCCAGATTGACCTGCGGGCCGGGTCACCCAACATCATCCCTCCTGGCCAGTCCAGGCATCTCCACTCTCAGGCAGGTTCATGGCTGGGCACTCACTGGAGTTTTGCACTCACTCTCCTCCCACATGTGGGGTCCTGGCCTCTGTCTCATGGATTCCCAGGTCTCAGGCCTAAACTGAAGTTCCAGCATCTCATCCCATGGTGACTTCCAACTTCCCAGTGCTTGGCCAAGTCCCCCTATCCCCTTGTTACTGGTTAGGGGTCTGGGGTTGCTTCTTTCCAGGTTCTTGGCAAACAATGGACTGAGCAGGACACTGCACAGCAAGGGTAATATTTGTTAAAACTACAGAAGGAAAAATGGACTTCTTGGGTGGGAGCTGGCCAGTGAGAAGAGCTGGTGGCCTGCAAGAACAGGACTGGGTCTCTCAAGGCCATGGGATGAGGGGAGGATTTTTGGTTTGGAACTGACAGGAGTCTTGGCACAGTCGGCCACCTGCCTGGATGGGGAGTTTTTGACCACACAAAGTTTCTAAAAGGTCATGGGGTCCAGAACCCCTGGGAGGGGTTGGTTGGTTTTGTCAACACCTCTACGTAAATGAGGGCACAATCCTGGTCATGCAGTTTGGTTTTGTGAATGCCTGTGAATTCTAGGGGCACAGGATGACATTTATCTCTTTGTTTCTTGTGTTTTGATGTTTTTGTTTTATTCTCTCTGGTTCCTCAATCCTTTCCTCAAGACTTTAAGCTGTTTCTTTTTCCTACCTTCTACCAACCCTCATGGAAATGTCCAGCCCTCTCCTCTTAGAATACCTACTGGAGACTTGGCTTTGATCCCCAGTCTCCCAAATGAGTGTACAGCAAAGGCTTAAATAAATGAGACAAGTCATGTGATTTTAGGGCTCCAGGAGGATCAAACCCTCTGTAGAGGTTGAGATTCTGTGGGCTAAGACAGGGAATGTCTGTGGGTAGCCCATATTTATTTAGTGTTCAAACTAGGAAGGAATTAGAGTGGAAAATGCAGGAAACCTGAGCAGGACCCTGGGAGAGGTTCAAGGACCCCTCCGAGCAACAGACTATGCTAATCAAGGAGAACCATCCTAGGAGAAAGTCTCCAGGTGACTTTTACTCAGGACTGAAATGCCTGCAGCTACAATCTCCATCCTATTCATTGGAGTTGGAGCCAGGTGTCCCCAGCTGTGGCCCCTCTTGCCCCCTGAGGTGTCTCCTTGTTCTCAGTCCAGCCATGCCCAGCCATGCCCCAGCTATGCCCCAGCCCCACACGCACATTCAGCTTCAATGGCTCCCAACAGTACTTGCTCCGTGCCCCTTACACCAGAGGTGGGTTTCCTGCTTCTCTCTCAAAGTGGTATTCTGACCTCCAGATACACATATGGGGTTCTGGCCTCTGACAGCAATGGGCAGGTTCTGGCTGCTTGCTTCAAGGTGGTGTAGAGTCAGCTTTTCCAGCGCTGGGCAAAATATGTGACCCTGGGGAGTTTAAAGAGGGGTAGTGAAGTGTGGCTCTGTTTTCAGAGGTGTTGTGGTTGGCTGGCTCCATGACAGAGGTTGTGTGTTCATCCCACAGGACCCATGAAGTAGAGAGAGAAGAGCCAGGACAGAGCACAAATGCCCTTTTGAGTCACCGGGATCTACCTCCACTCAGGTGTGCCATCAATCCTGGCAGTAGCTGTAATCTACTCAAGGAACAATCCCCTTGTCTTAGTTACTTTCTTCTCATTTCTGAGACAAAGAACCTGACATCCAGGGTTAAAAGAGGAAAGGTTTATTTAGCTCACAGTTTGTAGAGGTTTCTGTCCATAATTGGCTAGCTCCCAAGCAAGGTGACACATGGCTGAGGGGCATGGACCATTCATGGTGGTGAGAAAAAACTACAAGGGGAGTGCTTTTCATGGTAGCAGAAGGTTGCCAGGCAACATGGGAAAGAGAGAGGCAAGTGTTTTTCTGTCTCTTGCACTGTATCCAACCTACCCATCCTAGGGCAGTGTACATTCACACCCTTAATCCCTGCCGTGGTGCATGAATCAGTCACAAACTCTAGATTCACCCATTGCTGAAAAGCCTAAGATTGCATGAGGCTTTGGTAGGTCATCTAGGCACCAACCATAACACTCCTCATGACAGTAGCTCCCCTGTAACCCAGACACATTCTCAAAGCCCCACCCCTGAACACAAGGCATTTGGGGGAGGGGAACATTTTATATCTAAAGAATAATAGCTTGGGTTCCAGCCTCTGAACTCAGTGTGAGCTCTGACCACCATGGACAGTGTGCTGGCCCAGGTGACAGTGTGTAGTATGAACTAGTGAGAAAGCCACAACTTAGGACCTGACCCACACGTCACAGGTGTCATTCACAACAATGCTGGCGAGTGCATTGCTCATCCAGCTGAGCTCTAAGGACAGCTGCACAGAGGGAACTGGTAGCTCGGGAGGTAGGGGTTCACTCAGGCTCTCCCTGGCTTTCAGCTGCCCATAGCAGACTGCCACCTGGGGTGGCATCACCACTGCCGACGCACAGGAGCCTACAACCTTTGATGTGGCCTTCCAAAGTGATGCCTCTGGGACTTCCGGGAGAACATGGCGGACAGATAGCAGCAGCTATGGAGGCTCTCTGAAAGACTCGGCTTAGAATTCAGGAATGGTGCGGACTAAGGAGTCATAAGCAGGTGGAGATATGCTCTGCTGACTCAGGAACGAACTGGGCTGAGAGAAACCAACTTGGAAAGCAGTCCTGCTGCTAGAACAGGAACAGAGGGGCCTCAGTGTGGAGGCTGGAGCCCGCACCATTGGAAGCTGCGATTTGGGTTTCCTGCCGCGCGGCAGCTGCGTCTACATCAGCTCTGCAGGGAGACAGACGTGTGGAAGCTCTGAGAACGGGAATCGGCGAACAGAGTTGAAAACAGGACTGGCAGGGAGCTGTGCATTGACTTGCAGTGAGGTGAGTGAGAGAAACTGACACTCTCCCACAGTTTAATGAGACTCCAACAGAAGACATTCTGGGACTGGGCAGACTTGCGGGAGCGGGGCGCTGCAGCGACTTCAGCCACATATCCCCCTCTCAAGCAGGATTGGTGAGAAGTGCCTAGCCTACGTGACATTGCTGGTGGAGACCCAGTGGGCTAGCACAACCCAGATCCCAGAGCCTGAGGGTGACCTGGAGGGAGGGGCCCCGCGTAGGCTGCCTGGTCTACAATTTCCTGGTGTGCTGCGGTAGGCGGGAACACCTAGCCGGCGCAATTCGATCAGGCTGTGGCTGACAGGGAGGGAAGCTGGGCCTCCTATATACGCTTGCATATATAAGGAACAAAGAATATGGGAAGAGGCAGCAACAAGAAAGGCTCCTCGGCCCCCAATCCTGAGAAACAGGCAATAGCGGACACTGCACCAATAGACATAAAGCGCCATCTAGAGAGCCTCATAGATCAGTTCAGGAATGAAGTTATTAATGACCTGAAGCTAGAAATAAGCAGAATAGTTAGAGAAATGCTAAGCACCACCCAGGAAAAAACAGATGGTGGAATGGAAGAACAGAAAAAGAGGGGAGAATTGTTTGATGGAGAAAATAGAGAAAGCATAGAATACGTGAAGCAGGTTCAAAGAGACTACCAGGAAACTAAAAACTCTATTGAAAACTGGCATAACAGCTTGAAAGAAACTAAGGACAGACTATCTGAACTGGAGGGCAGATTTGTAATATGGGAGAATGAAATGAAAAACTTCTTAAAAGTAACAAAGAAACAAACAGCAATAATACAAAGACTAGAAGATGATAAGAGGATCCATAACTTAAGAATTAAGAACATAAAAGAAGTAGGGACACAAACAAATGAACTTCAAAAACTACTCACAGAAATAATCCAGGAGAATTTTCCTAATTTAGCAAAAGGTAAAGATACTCAGATGTATGAGGCATACAGGACCCCAGCCACCTACAACCCAAACAGAGCAACAGCCAGGCATATAATAATAAAAATTCCAGAAATTCAATACAAGAACAGAATATTAAAAGCTGTCAGAGACAAGAAACAGACCACTTACAAGGGAACACCCATCAGAATTACAGCAGATTTCTCTGCACAAACCATCAAATCACGAAGAGTGTGGGGGGAAATAATTCAAGCTTTGAAAGATAATAATCTCCAGCCAAGATTGAGATATCCTGCACAACTGTCCCTGGAAATTGATGGAAAAACGAGGTGCTTGCAGGATAAAGAGGAACTGGGGGAATTTGCAACCACCAATTCAACCCTACAGAAAGTATTGCAGGATATTCTAAAAAAAGAAAAATACAAAGAATCCAGAAATAGTGGCGGGGAGGCCACAACGAATGGAGCAGAGAACAAAATGAAGAAGACAAACTGACAGCTACTGACAGAAAAAGAGCTCAACAGAAATGAGACAGAGAAGATTGGATGATAGGAACAGCTATTTTGGAGAAAATGACATCTTAATAGGTAATACTGATTTAGTATCATCTTGTTTTGAAGTCTCATCTAGCTTTTGTTCTTCTGTCTCCAATGGTCTAAACAGGTTGTATCTTATTGGATTTTATTATGTACGATAGTATAAGCCAAAACTTTTAAAGACAAGGCGATTATACAGAAACCATTGTTCATTTTCTGTTAGTTGATTCTAAATACCCTGTAATGCTGTCATTCTCTTAAATGGTTTTACATTGTTTTGATATACTTGATGCTACAGTATACGAAGTTATACTCAAAGATTTCAAGGAAAGAGACAATATGGTAACTACTTTTATGTCAGGATTATCTTGTGGTGATACACTATTCTGCTTAAATGGTTATGTTTTGATCTGCGCTGTTTTGCTGTTATGCCCTCTTTTATCTCAATCTCCACTTCATTATTTACTTTTTTATTTTTATCCTTTTAATTAAGGGAA